AAAAAATAACTGAAATCAATCGCTTCCTATAACCATCAATTAGTTTTTTTACACCTCCTTACTGGAATTTTGGAGTACTCTTCTTTTGCCAACTGCTCCAGCTCTCAGATTGGAAGGGTTTCTTTTCCCAACTGCTGTTTTGAGATCTCTCTACAGGTGCTCTATGGGATTGAGATCTGGACTCACTGCTGGCCAGTTCACTACTCTCCAGAGCTTTGTCTTAAACCATTTCTGGGGGCTTTTTGAGGTGTGCTTTGGGTGATTGTCCTGCTGTAAGACCCATGACCTCTGACAGAGACCCAACTGTTTGACACCGGGCCCAACAATGCAACCCAGAATTCTTTGGTAGTTTATAGATTTCAGAATTCCATGCACACGGCCAAGACATTCAGTGCCTGAAACATCAAAGCAACCCCAAAACATCAGTGAACCTCCACCATGTTCGACTGTAGGGACTGTATTCTTTTCTTTAAAGGTCTCATTTCTTTTTCTGAAAATAGTAGAATGATGGGCTGTACCAAAAAGCTGTAATTTAATTTCATCTGTCCACAGCACATTACATAGTCTAATTGAAAAAAAAGACAAAAGTCCATCCAGTTCAACCATTAAAAGGATTTTGGCTTCCTCAGGTAAGTTTTGGCAAACTCCAATCTGGCGTTTTTTATGTTTCTGTGTGAACAGTTGAGTCCTCTTGGGTCTCCTACCATAGCGTCCCATTTCATTTAGATGGCAACATATAGTGCGAGCTGACACAGTTGTACCCTGTACCTGAAAGTCAGCTTCAAATTGTCAGGAAGTTGATTGAGGTTCTTTATCCACCATTCAAACAATCCTTCATTGCAATCTTTGATCAATTTTTTTCTCTCGTCGATGTCCAGGAAGATTAGCTACAGTCCCATGGGCTGTAAACTTCTTGACAATGTTGCGCACAGTGGACACAGGAACATTAAGATCTCTGGAGATGGACTTGTAACCTTGAGATTGTCCATGCTTTTCCACAATTTTTCTTCTCAAATCCTCAGACAATTATTTGCTGCTCTTGCTCGTCTCCATGCTCCATGTGGCACACAGAGACACACAACAGAAAGGTTGAGTCAATTTTTCACCATTTTAACTGGTTGCCAGTGTGATTTCTTTATTATTATTATTATTATTATTATTATTATATTATTATTATTATAATACAGGATTTATAGAGCGCCAACAGTTTGCTCAGCTCTTTACAATATATTGTCAGCACCTGTTAATTGATACAGATGAGTTTACTTACAAATTCCAGGAGCATCACAAACTTGGAATGCAATTATCTCTTACAATTTTGAGAAGGTGACAATATTTTTGTGTAGTCCATTATTGGAGTTTTGGGTGGAATGTGTCAGATTTGGCTTTTTGTTTCTCCAAATTTTTGTGTCATACCAATACAAGCAAAAGAAATAAACATGAGAATGCATAAACATTTGTAATAGCAACAATTTTCTGGGGCAAAGTGGTGCATTATCTGACAGACATGGAAGGGTACCAATATTTGTGGCCATGACTGTATATACTTGATGGAAATACTAAAAATTGATAATATTGTGAGTGGCAAGCCTACCCCTAACACCAGTCCTGGGACAGGTACGTCCAGCACCCAGGGCAAGGATGTAGAACTAATGCATGACATAGAATAATTGTAACACCTTGTGCTCATTATTTGCTCCAACTTCCCATAGTGAGTGTCCACTGCCCCTGCATAGCCATTCACTTGCTTTCTTGTGGCTAGAAGGCAGTTGCACATTGTGTTTTTGTGTCAGCTGTGGGCAACTGGGGTGGAGAGTTCGTATGTTGGAGCATAGTGTGTTAGCTGGTAGCTGCCAGTGCAGATATGAAACTGTGGCCCTTTGTTGCTAGCCACTGATCTGTAGCTTGCATGTGGTGAAGCGCTGTCCTCCTCCCCTATAGCTGTGTCCTAGGTGGCTGTCCCTCCGGCCCACCACTTGTCCTGGCCCCGACTACTAACACACATACAGTGCTGCAGATATTATATCTGTGCTACCAGGTGCTAAGATTTGTAGTATGGTACTTTACTGCAAACCTAGCTGCAGAGAGGAGAATAAGTCATTATGGGACAGTGGTCCCCATCATGTACCATCAGAGAATGAATAGGAATTAGGAAACAGAAGTGTGTGAGGATGGGGGAGCCGTGCACCCCTCATCCCAGACCACAGAGAAGCAGATATCACTCCTATGAAGGGAACGTGGCCTTTTGGGTATCAAGGGATGCCTCCTTCAAACTGGAAGACATATGACATGCAGAAATCTTATTTCCTTCCAGAGGTGTTTCCAGTATTCCCATTTCATGTTTTTAGATGATACTTTTTTATGAAATAAAACCAGTCCAGAGCAGAGCTAAATCTATAAATCTCTGGCTAGGCAGCACATTGTACTCCAGTGCAAAGCAGCTTCTGGTGTAATTGGTATGATTAGATTTCAGTTTAAGAATCTCTCATTTGTCGCTCAGGGCAATTATATTACAAGAGCTGTTCCCTTCAGTGGGATAAGAATGAAAATACCTCTCTTGAAAAGAAGAACAAAACATTTTAATGCCATATATCCCAGTCTTTCATCATGTGTCTTCAGCTCCTTATGCATCGAGTGCATAGTTTTCATTTTTTTTTACATTGAGTGTTTTACCCTTCATTATTCAGGAGACATCATGTACCTTTATTTGTTTTCTCACTATGAAGCCAATCCAGACATTGTATTACATACTGCATAGTTAATACCATTATTATTGTATTCTTATTCTAATCATTATAGTTCTATATTTAGTATTTAGCACAAAAGGCTAACTCTGCCTTCTGTGATATTTCAGCTTTAAAAGGAAACTATAATGGTTTGGGGTCAATCTTATCTTGTTCGTTAGTGTTTTATGGGTTTTACATTTCTCTTTACTAACTGAAGTTTTACTTTATAAACAAGGTTTATTTTACAAATAACTATTTAGTACAACAGCAATGGATTTGAATGTAGTGCTATTAGATAAATAGTACCATCCCACATGGAAGAAAAATATATTTGAAATATATTTTAAAAATTTTCTTCCCAAATATATTGACATATATCTGACTGTTACACAGTTAATATTTATGTTAATGTACATGAGAATTCATATAGTTTATTTTTTGTACCATTTCCTATGGACATTTCTATAGTTAGTTATGCTGCCATCCAGTGGCCTTATTTGGTAATGTATTTGTTTTTTATATTACCTCCCTGAGATCTATGACACAATTCCTTTGTATATGAAGCTCCTCCTTCTTCTTGAGTTCAGCACTTCCTGTGTCATGGAGGAAGCTAACAGACCACATGTAACAGGGACACATGTATTCTGCATAGTACGCTATGGAAAGTATCATCTTTTGACCGCATAATACTGGAAACCATTCATTCTGCTGTATCCTGTTGTCACATGTACAGAATAAAGCAACTTCTGGATGAACACAGTATTGGTGAGTTCAAGCTATCTGATAAGGATTGTCCACAGTGATTATATCTGCTTATACAGGCTAGGCAGAGAGGTCTCACAAGGGATAAATTGCTATCACAACAATCTGAGTCAGAATATATACATATATATATATATGTATATATATATATGTATATAAGTAGTATGTTGAAATGCGATTTTATTAAAAAATATATGAAAAAATATTTTTAAAAATACATTTCAAATATACTGTATGTCTTTAAAAATACAAATCTACATTTTTGGAATGCATTTACAAATATATGTAAAAATATATGTTAAAATGACTTTTTTATATGTTAAAAAAAATCTAAAGAATTTTTAAAAAAAATATAAAACATATTAAACATATAAAAAAGTCTTTTTAACATATATTTTTACATATATTTGAAATAGGTTTTTATATATTTTGTAATAAAAACGTATTTCAACGTACAGTATATATATATGATATATTGTATAAAGCAAATATGTGAGCGCAAAAAGAGGGTGAAAGCAGATGTGCACAAGGTAACCAAAAAAACCCTTATAAAACTGTATAAAATAAATGTGCAGCGCCAAAATGATAAAGTAAAATCAATACGATATATATGAATGCTAATATATAATTAAGACAATATCAAACTGACATAAAAAACAGTTCATAAAGTGACTTGAAGTGCTCAGATATTCCTATGACTTTCTGAAGATGAATGATGTGCATACAGGTGCGTAAGGAATGCGCACTCACCAGAACGTGCAAGTTAATGAGCGTTTGTATGTTATATCCTGATGTCATCAGATGGTCATCACAGGGTAAGGCAGGAATCCAGTAGACTCCTTCATGTGGTCCTGGGACTCAATAGTGGGACATCAGGGTTATCCAAAGTTCCCCTTAAGGGATAGGTGGGTGCAGCTCTCTGTGTGTAATGGAGGCTCCCTCTCTGGTGGTCAGGTGGCAGGTAGCTGTAAGTTGATACTTCACAGGGGAGTCAAGGTAAAAGCATATCCATAGTGTAGTATTTCAAGGATTTTATTGAAAGTATGCAAGTATCCAAGTAAAAGTAGTAAAGCTGAACAAGCAGAGCAATGTATGATATATTGGTATCAGTGGGTGCAGTAATAACCCCCAGCATTAGTGGCAGTGGGCGCAATAATAACCCCCAGCATTGGTATCAGTGGGTGTAGTAACAACCCCCCCCAGCATTGGTATTAGTGGGTGCAGTAATAACCCCCAGAATTAGTACCAGTGGGTGCAGTAATAACCCCAGCATTAGTGTCAGTGGGTGCAGCAATAACCTCCAGAATTAGTGCCAGTGGGTGCAGCAATAACCCCCAGCATTAGTGCCAGTGGGTGCAGTAATACCCCCACTACTGGTATCAGTGGGTGCAGTAATAACCCCAGCATTAGTGTCAGTGGGTGCAGCAATAACCCCCAGCATTAGTGCCAGTAATACCCCCAGCACTGGTATCAGTGGGTGCAGTAATAACCCCCAGCATTAGTGCCATTGTGTGCAGTAATAACCCCCAGCATTGGTATCAGTGGGTGCAGTAATAATACCCCAGCATTAGCATTAGTGACATTAGGTGCAGTCAGGAGCGGACTGACAACTCATGGGGCCCCCGGGCAATAGGGGATCATGGGGCCCCTGTGTCCTTGCCCAAACTCAAAAAAGCCTATGAAAAAGGTACCAGGGGCATTTCATTGGGCCCCCTACTGACCCCGGGCCTTTGGGCAGTGCCCGAGTTTCCAAATGGTCAGTCCGCCCCTGGGTGCAGTATTAACCACCAGCATTGGTATTAGTGGATGCAGTAATAACATCCCAGATTTTTTTCACCACTCACCTCCACACTCCTCTTCCATTTCTTAATTCTTCACCCTTGTCAACAGCTCACCCTTGTACCTTTCATCCATAGCTCTGCTCTGCACAGCTCATCCACTTTTTGCGTCTGCATTCCTCCTCTACAGCTCCCTCCACTTCGCTTGGCAGGCCATTCCTCTGCATGCCTCATTCACAACTCTCTTCTGTACCACTCTATCACCACCTGCCTCTGAACAACTCATCTACTGACCCTTTCTGCACCCCCCTCCATAGTTCACCTGTACCCCTGAACCCCATGTCCACAGCTCAGTTGAACACAGCTGACTTGCACCCTCTAAACACCTCTTTCACTGCTTCCTCCCCAGCACCATACCAGGACCTGGCTTCACCCCCTAGGGAGGTACTGTCCAACCCCTCCACCACACAAATGAGCCATGGTTAATGCATATGCAAATCCCAGAACACAGCCCATGACAGTCCTGACAACTGAACAAACAGAAGGACTTTCTGTGGAAATCCAGGACAGTTGGTAAGTGTGTGGATGTTGTGGCAGGTCACAGATCAGAGCTGGTACTAGACATTTCCCAAATGGGGGGGAAGGGGCATTGTAGCTCAAATGGTGGGAAAGAAAATAAATAGCTTTGAGATCTCTTTCTTCTTAATAACATTGTCAGCATTGCTTCTTTGTTACTGGACAGGCTGGTAATATAGTGGCCAGTGAACAACCCAGTAATGGATGGTACCCCTACTATGGAAGAAATAATAGGAAATGCTATATAAAGGACGTGTCTGGGGGGACACATGATTCATTTTGGTACAACATTACCTCCTATTGGGGTTTTGTGCTATTGGTGAGCCCATAGCCCATCTTTCTCTTCCACCCGTTGCACTGTAGACCAAAGCATTCATATGTTCTGCATCACATTTACAAAATGTGCCAAGGATTCATGAAATATATGGATTTAAAAAAATATCTCTAATTACAATTTTGTATGCTTTTGACTTGTGTTTTCTCTTTTACTACAGTCTAATGCCAAATGCTCCCATTTTCCATCCTTTTCTTTGATGCCATACATGGCAGGGTCTAATCCTGTGATTTAGGTTGGCTGAAATAGCTGTACAGTATAAAATATAGAAGATGTGCTGGAGTCATAGCCTGCTAGCTTCCATCAGATGCCTCTTACATCTGAACAATGGTTAGATACATCTCTGTTCCAATTCTCTAGTGCAGATGAGATGATAAACAGTATATTGACTTCCCTGCTATAGGACATTTCCAGCATTTATGTCTATGAGTCTTAGATACACAGGCAGTGCATTATGGAAACATTAGTAACCTAGTAATGGACTCATCAAATAATCCTGAATCTTCACAGCTGAACATAAAAGGCACACATACAGAGATCTTCGCTAATTTCTCAGCTAATGGACAATTCTTGGAGAAAGGCTTTTCCAGAGATACATATAAAATAAGTGAATAATGCTTATTTTAGACCCTTTGTGCAGGACAAAAAGAAATCTAATGTACATTGCATGGATTTGAACAAACATTGTTGTGGATTCCTAGCTTTATTTATTCTGAAGAAATGGCTAACTGTTTTACCTTGTCCATTGCAGAGTAGTTCCTGAATGGAATGGCCAGTGTTCATTATAACCACCGCAGAAAATCTCTGCAATTAGGAAGTTGCAGTGTCTGCATCCCTTTAGTAGACAAGACTGACTGGCCATGGATGGATCAAAATTTGGCTGGTTCAGCAAGGACCTGCCGAATTTTGATCCATCTATGGCAATTGCAGTTCGGGAGGATCTAATGATCAACACCTCTTGAGCGGGACTGCTGGTAAATTTGTTTGATCAGTACCTACAGCCAATGTGGGAATCCTCCTTGATGAGCTACTATATTCTGACAGTGAGTCTCCTCTGCTGTTAGAATACAATAGCTAAGCAAGCAGGATTCCAGCATCCATCTTATACTGTATGTATGGAAGGGGGAGTCCGTTAAGTTTTTTTTATTCTCCATCAGCGTGCTGAGTGAGTGACAAAAACTGATGATTGAGTGCAGAGATGTCTTTATCTCTTTTCTTCTTTCTGTTTAAAAATGGTCTATTTTAGCCACCTCGGCTTACTGTTATATCTTCATCAGAGTTTCATTGGCTGCCATAATCCTAACCGGTTAGCTACCTATCACCTTCATACTATTTTTTTTTTTGTTCTCAATATTTACACTTTTAGTCATTTCTCTACAAAGTTTTGTACCATCAGCAGCTATTAACCCATTGGTTAATAGCTAATTCTTCATGTTATGATATGTACCTTGTAACATTTCAATACAAATTTATTGAAAGTGAGAATAAATGATCCATGTATGGCCAAGATTTAGGGAGCATTTAATCAAAAATAAAATTCTGATAGCAGAGGATGCCTAAAATTTAACTTGTAAATTATTGCAGAAAATCAGCAAGTCAATTACAGAAGGAGGACATGACATGTCTGGGGTATCGATGTACAGAATGCCTTCAGGTTACCATATTGCTTTGATTTTTTTGACAGTTTTAGAAAATTTGAGCAGCTGCAGAAATGTCCTTTGATACCAATCAATGTACTTTGCCATGTCAGTTCCAAGAAAACTGTTGCTAAGCAGTAATAGTTCAAGAAAACTTGCTATGAGAAACATGTGCTAGTGCCGTTGCTAACCTCCTTCTGAAAATAACGATTCCCTAGCTATCGTGATGATCTTCTAACATCAATAGCTTCAATCCTACTTAATAATTTTCGCATCACTGACCTGGAACAAAAATAAAGCCACTTCATTAGTGAATTAGGGAGAAGAAAGTCATATAAATACACTACAGAACTTAATAGATATGGCCGACAACAATAAAAAAAAAAAAATCAGTTCATCTCTCCAATGCATTCCCCACATTTTATCCTGTCATCAAGTTTTAAAAATTCAGAAAAATAGCTGTTACGTTTCCAGAAATCCCAATTTTCTTTGTGGACTAGCAACACAATGCCCCTGCTGAGCTGAAATACCAAGCAGTGGTGTCAGCTTATTGCCCACTGCTTTCCTTCCACTTCACATGCATGGATTGATTTTTTTATCCAGTAAGGCCATGCTACTGTCTTTGATCCCAATAGCCTGCATTTACAGTCTGTGTGTTTGTGTGTGTACGTGTGTGCATGTAGTTCTGGGGGCAAAGGAACTGACCTCCCAGCAGCTGCCCCTTCGAGAAATGTAGGATTCAGGCTATGATACCTTGGGCAGTAATAAAACTGTTTATTGGTACAGGAACAAGGTAAAGAAAAAAATGGAGAAGGGAATTTGGGTTTACAGTTATGGAATTCCTGGGCATGCCCTTTAAATGATATAAATATAGCACCATTTCTGAAGGTAAAACTAATTTTAGACTTTCTCTGTCAAAAATTCCACTGTGAATAAAGCACTACAGTCTTTCAAGGGCAGTGCATATCCATCTGAGTAGCAAATAGATTAGAAGATGTGTGAAGAACATGTCAATGAACGTACAACATGCAACGTTTCTGGGACCATTTGTCTGACAGAGCTGGCCATAACCACAGACGAATCAATGTGCAGTTGAGTTGGAGAAGCTCTGTGATGAGGACCAATCTCTTGATCCTTTTTTTTCATTACGTTGTGCTGGTCTATCTGAAGACACTGAATGGATAAAATAAAAGCGTCTCTTTAAAGTGTTACTAAACCCAGGACCCAGCATTCACTATATCTGGTCTCCCACAGTACACACAACATGGAAATGCAATTATTTTAGTAAATAAAAACTGCTAAATACCTTTTTTCATCAGCAGTTAGAGCAGTCTTGTGACTTCTGTGACGGGCGCAGTGTCAGACCCCGCCCTTCTCACCAAACTCGTGACCAAAGGACTAGCCAATCTAAAACCGCGATGTCACGTGCGTAACAATGCCACACCCAGCTGCACCCTGCACATCGATTTTCCAGCTAATTGGACCACAATCGACAGAACGGCAGCCTGATTGCGATTGTTACTGGGTCCGGTTAATTACGCAATTAACCCTTCACACTGCCACCACCTCCTTTTTATACAGAGAAAGAGGAAACTCAGGAATACACTAGGATGATTGGTTAACCGTCAGTATCCCACTATCTCTACAGACCGGTTATACAGAGGGTTAAGCACTCATAGTAGCGCTCTTCAGCGGCAGGGATTCGTAAGTCACATTAAAGAACTATAGAAACAGTTCAAAGCTTTCAGAAAGTAAGATTTACTACTAAAAGGTCAAAAGGGTGCAGTAGAAATATTTACAGAAAAGATGTAACCAATATATATATATATACTGTATATATATATATATATATATATAAAAATATATATATATATAAATATACAGAGCACAACATCACAGCAAACAGATAACAGAAAGACGTTTAGGTAAATAAGTACTTGCCAAATAAATGCCTGGGGTTAAGCAGTTTCAAGTCTGATGAGCTAAAAAGGGATTTCTGGTCTCGCACTCAGTTTCGTTGGTACCACGCAATTCCCCTTTCTCTTGGTCTGCTAGATGTTAAAACGCAGACGGTCCGCACTTCTCTGACTACACACAAAGCATAACAGTTTCTTTTCTACAAAAATCAATTGGTATCTTTTTACAACAGACAAGCCTATTGCCTTATTTGGGAAAAGGATGGCAAAGATAGCTACACTGAACGCATTCCTGAGGGAGGGGGAATGAGGGGATACATGAAGACTTCTTAATACAGTGAGAGGCGTGCCTGGCTCTTGTATGTACGATTACTACACCTTCCCCCCCCCTCAGGTGATGGCATATGTGTTTAAGAGCAATACCAAAATGTAGAAGTTTGGAGCAAAATGGAGAACCGCACCTCTCCCTGTGGGCATGATTGTGACAACTTCTTTCAGTGTCTGGCTGAGCACTGGTTAATCTCGTAGGAGGAGTTGTCATTCTGCTATG